TAAGATGTAATTTTCTTCTACTTTGGCTGTTTCCCCTCTATTCATCCAGCCATATCACATGCATCTGTTCCCATAGCAACCCAGTAAAGCTTTGGTCTCATAAGAGTTGCTTGAAGGTGGAAATCACAAGGCCTTCCAGACTCTGGAATATGTAGTCACAAGCTTCATCTGCTAAGACACACAGAAAAAGAGAACTTTGTTTTGTGGCTTGTTTTCTTGTTAAGATTCACTTTCAAAAATCCCTTGATGCTTGTTTGTGTCAGTTCTACTTCTGAAGAGGCAGAATGTCAGCATCAAGGATAGTGTCCTGTGAAAGAGTTCATATCATTTACTTAAGGATTATTTATTGAATTTTTCCTAGGTTGACAGCCTTATCTATACACATTTAATGGTAATTTAGGGGAAAAAACATCATAAAATGCAAAATAATGTTAGTTTAGATATGGTGGAATACTGCTGGCTGAAGCAGGTACTTTTAAAAATATTTATTTCTTTTTATGTGTATGAGTATTTTCCTGTATGTGTGTGTGTGTGTGTGTGTGTGTGTGTGTGTGTGTGTATGTATGTACCTGCCTGGTGCCAATGAAGGAGGGCATTGGCTCTTTTAGGAGGATAGGAGTTAAAGCCTGTTGTGGGCCACTCTATAGATGCTGGAACTGAACCCAGGTCTTCTGCAAGAACAGCAAGTGCTCTTGACCAGTGAACCATCTCTCCAGCTCCGGAAGGAGGCATTTTATCAGTCCCCAGAAACGTCCTTTACCACCTCCAACTAATCACATGTGGCCAAAGCAATAGTTAGTTACTACAGCTGAAATGACAAGCTAAACACGTAAATGTGTACATTTGTTCACATTACAAGTATGGGTGCTGAATAAGAACCAGTCCTGGTCACAACACCCATCACAGCTGCCGCTGTCATCTACATCACTCTTCACTGGGCTATAAGGCATTTTCGATGTGACCCATATGGCAGGTTAGTTGCAAGACTGCCTGTATGGCCAGACACCCTATCCTGTTTCATATTCTCACCAGGGGCTGAGCCTTCATTTATTCCTGTTTTTCTTGCCGTGTGTGTGTGTGTGTGTGTGTGTGTGTGTGTGTGTGTGTGTGCATGTGTGTGTGTTGGTATGTGTTTGTGTTTGTGTGGATATGTGAAAGGCATAGAATCATCAGCAACACTGACATTTACATTTGCCAAGGAAGAGTAAAGAACGTCTTCAAGACTGCCAGAAAAATAGAGCAAATATTTTCTTCCATTCTCTTGGAAATCTTTTCTTTTTGGATTTAATGGCTGTTACTAGCACCTGTTCAATGCTTTGCGAAGGTGGAAGAAAGAGGAGTGTCAGAAAAAGGTCCATCATGTGATCAAAGTGAGTGAATTCTCTGAATAGAAAGCATAAGTGCATCCCTGGGCTCATCTTTCTAGTCTGACTCTACAGCATTGCTCTTACCTAATGCTCCCTGCATATTGACAGTTTTATATTCCCTGTGTTTCAGATTTATAAATTTTATGCTATGGTTACACCATGAGAGAGCTAAATCAGTGATCTGGAATCGCTCAATAGGAAATGGAGGTGGATTTCATTCCATCTATGTCATACATGTATGCATCTCTGGTATTTGTAGTAGCTTCATTGAGAGTGTCCCCAGCAGGCTCCTATATTTGAATGCTGGCTCCCCACTTTGTGGAACTGTTTGACAAGGAATAGGAAGTGTGGCCTGTTGGAGTGGGTTGGCCCTGTTGGAGGACATATGTCACTAGGAGTGTCAAAGCCTGCCCATGGCAGGACCAATCTTGCTCTCTCTGTCTATAACTTCCATACTGGGTGTGAGCTCTCAGCTCTGCCTCCAGCATCATGCCTGTTGCTTGCCATGTTCCATACCATGATGATCATGGATAAACCCTCTGTAACTATAATCATACTCCAATTAAATGCTTTCTTTTAAAAGTTGCCTTGGCCATGATGTCTAATTTTACAGCAATCGTACAGTAACTAAAACAGAAGTCTAAATAAAAATATAAAAGGAACTTGGACATTTCTGCAAAGTGAGACTGAGCTGAGCCAACAGATACCAACCAGGTGGTTGCAAGCAAACATCATATTCTGCTCCTCCAGATATTTTAGCACCCACATCAGTCCTAGACTCAGCAGCCTCCTCCATCTTGAAGGAGCCTGGACATAGAGCTGAAGGGGAATCCTCAGCTCCTGGCAATGTCCTAAGAAAGCTTAATGAGGATGGGCTGTATGTCTCAGTGCTCTGAGGACAGCAGACTGGGGGAAAATACAGCACACTGACTATTTGTGTAGGTACAACTGCAGTTCACTAGATCAGACAGGCTTACTCTGGGTGGGCTTTTTTTTTTTCCCCTTGCAGGTTCATGTTGCAGAGACAGTAAGTTGAGCAGTTGTTGAGTTGTTGGCAACGGATCCCTTGTGATCTAACTAGTTCCTATCTGGTCACTTACAGGAAGTGTGCTGAGCCTGGTTTAAATCCTTCACTTCAAAGTTAGGCTTTGGAAAAGCAAAGTTGGAGAACACAGAGGAAAGTAGGAAATGCTGCCCACTGAATTGAATATGTTTTCTGTATAAGATTTCAGGAGAGATTACACACATTCAGGCTATTCTAATTTGGTATTCATTGCAGCAATGTCAAGGTGAACAACTAACATTTGTTGAAAATGTTCTGGGTACTATGTTGGAAATTTCCACAAAATAGGTATTTGAATTACTTATGTCAAGGGAGTTTAGGCTGTCCTGGGGATGAGGTATTAGGAGAAAATAAGCAAGTCAACATGCTCTTGACCCTGGACACAGGAAGGGCAGCTAGCTCAAGTGTGGACAATTGATGTTCATTAGTGCCTGGGCATAAAAGATGCTAAATGTAGGTCCCAGCTTGATTTGCAATTTCCCTACAGTGTGAGGTCAGAAATACATGACTTTGGAGCCACATACTGTAGGTCTTATGTATCCTGTAAATGGAGAGTCAAACAGAACAAAGCAGGAGCACTACATGTTCACGTTATAAATAAAGAGAAAGGCACAGGACTGCATGGGGCACTGTGCAACAATGACCCATTTGTTAATTTAAAAGTTGATACTTTAAAATTTTGATACTTTAAAAATTATAACCTTTCCCAATTAGAATAAAGGCCTAATGTATTGCCTACTCTCTATGCCCTTTACTAGAAAAACTCAGGAATTTATGGGACAGATTTATACAGACTGGAATTGGCTCTGGCACCCGGGTGCTGGGCAGACTTGAGTCCCTTCTGAGCAAGTATCTTCCCTCCCATCCACTTCCCTCTTTTCTTCACTCTCCTCTCCTCTCCTTACCTCTCTTCTCTACTCCCCTCTCCTCTCTTCTCCTCTTCCCTCTCTTCTCCCTTTCCTTCTCCTCCCTTTTCCCCTTCTCTCTTTCCCTCCCCTCCCCTCCCTTCCCTTCCCCTCCCCTCCCCCCTCTTCACTATTCTCCTTTCCTCTCCTCTCCTCTCCTCTCCTCTCCTCTCCTCCCCTCTCCTCTCCCCTCCCCTCCCCTCCCCTCCTCTTTCCTCCCTTCCCCTACCACCTCCTTCTCTTCTTCCTCTTCCCCCCCTCGTCTCCACTTCCGATCTCCTCTCTTCTCACTTCTTCTCCTCCCCTCTTTTTTATTTTTATCTATCTCTCTATCCCTCAACAAAATTCATTTTCTGGGTTCGCTTTTCATTCTGTGTCCATGTGTATCAGAAAGTGAACTTGACACAGTTATGGTATTTATGGATGACAACCAAGAAATCTCTCCTCTTTTAAACTTACTAAGTTTAAAAACTCATTGACCTATTGTTTTTCCTGCATATTCATATTTTTTGTATGCTTCCATTTTCAGTATAGGCCTATGTCTTTTCAAGAAAGTATCTATTCTTTTTGGGTCTGACTATTCACTGGAAATTCATTTTTCTCTGCCAACAGTTTCTGATTTCTGGCTGGATCCATTCTGAGGCAGGGAGCAGTATACCATTGTTTCCTGGCAGACATCTACCTTCCCTTTCAGAGTAAAGAAAAAAAAAAGAGGAGTCATGTATAATGTCTGTAAAAATGCAGAAGAAAAAGTGAAACGGAAAGAGTAAGCCAAGAAGTGAGAAAATAAGGCTTTGTTTGGAAAAAAAAAATCAAAACAAAGCAATAGTACAGTACCAAAGGCAAAGAAAACAAAAGTGACCCATAGAACCCAATCTTATCGGCTTATTTGGGAGCAAACAGAGGGTTATGGAGAGGAGAGTTTTCATTTGCCAAGGACTTATCCCCACGAGTGAACCCGAATCCAGCACAAACCTGCCTTCTACCCTCCACTGCTGTTGCTCTGAGCAGCTCACCAGTGCTTTTGCTCTTCCGTGGGAATGAAGCTTGTTAGGGGTTTCTCTGCTCTAGGCAGCTCTATTACAGGACAGCATTAGCTAACCCAGGCAGTAATGAGCACTGTCACTTCCTGCAGCTTACTGCTTCTGTGGTAGTGTCACGATAACTCTCTGCTCACTTAGTGGCAGATCTAAAAGTTGTCCTGAAGTTCCCTCTAAAAGTTGTTGGGTTTTTTATTTCTATATATATATATTTTGGCACTGGTTGTTGCAGACTGAGCATGTCCCTTTAAGGGCTAAGCAGTGCCTCCCATTACCTGATGAGGAGAGGACATGCAAGCTATTTGCTGCCCTCTGTCTATGTAGCAGTGTAAGCTATGTTCTAATCATTCACAGGACAACACAATCTAGGCCTCTGTTTGAGTAACCCAAAAAGCAAACCTGGACACAAGGCCAGAACCACAGCAGGGCTTTTTGGTAATGTGCCCTGAGAAGAAGTGAGATGGCAGTAGGCCCTCACTACATTGATATGTAACTGGACTCCAAGTAAAAATGGGCTGGAAAAATCCATCGGGATGCCCAGTCCAAATAGTTGTCCCAGCTCCAGATCATTTTATTTTTCAGAGTTCGACAAGTCAAAGCATTTTCACAAGTTGCCCCCAATTACCTATTGATGCTGTTTTTCTGTGCTAACATCTGCCAGTCCTTGCCTTTGGCGTTGGGGGTATCAAACGTAGCACAGATCCTCTGCCTGATGGAATAAGGAATTTTGAAGGCTTTCGGGCCAGTCTGTGCAGGGAAAGTACTGTCCTCTTGTGCGAAGAAAGTGATGGTTTCTCGTTCACTCTATAAACAAGATAAGTGATGCATGATCAGATCCAGAGAAAAACACTGCTGACATTTTTTATTTGTGAAAATCTATGTTAACACACATGCTCAAAATGCATACATAAAATACACTGACAGGTTCCTCCCTAGCTTTCAAAATAGTAAGGACGTTCTTTAGCAGTCCATCAATCATGTCCTAAAGATTTACAGTAGCCCCTTCCACTCACGGATATCATAGGTCACCAGCTCCTAACATCATGGCCTGTCTGCTAAGGGAAGAATTACGTAGTTTTTATTTTATTTTATTTTTTAAGGCTCTCGGGGATAGATGGGAATTAATATGAAGAAGCCACCTGGTGACAGATTTGGGTTCTGTATGAGGAATGACCCTGTGATAGTCATCGAGGCCAAGGATGAATAGGCTGATCACAGCAGCAGACTGGGAAGGTGTAAGGGCAGACTGTATCTTAATGCTACAGAAGTTTGCTCTATTCCCTAGTTCTGGAGCTGTACGACATGATGATAAATCTTGCTTTTGATTTAACTCCCCTCAAAGAGACAGACTCTGCCAGAAGACAACACTTCTGTTAGCTGTGTGTGGAGTGGTGCCGCGAAGGCTTCTCCATGCTGTCTGCCCAGCTGCTTCTACCGCCCAGCTCTCCAGTAAGGGTTTACTGTTGCGGAGCATCACAACTCTTAGGTCACCACATCTGAGAAAAAGTCACAAAGGAGATCCGCCAGGTTGTGATGGTGACTGATAGGCAACTGTGGACTAATAGAATCTTAACAATTTGCAAATATCTGTTGGAATGAAGCCCGTGATTATTACGTGCTGGGAAATAAAAAGAATACAGCTGACATAATTAAAGTACGCATTAAGATGGCTTGTAATTAATTATTTTTCTTCCCCCATGGGTTTAACCTAACCCGCAGGTTAAGCCTGTGGTAAAGCCTTCAAAAGTAGGAAAGGATAACCTTTCTCTCTCCCTCCCTCTGTTCTTCCCTCCCTTCCTCCATTCCCTTGCCATCATCTCTTTTGAAAGTACTGGAGATTGAGTTCAGGGCTTTCAGCAAGGTAGGCAAACACACTTCCTCTGAGATGCAACTTCAGAATTGGTGGCATCTCCTTCAGCCCTGGCAGATGGAGAATGACCACACTGTAATTGCCTGTGAGTAGATGAGTAGCTAGGATCCAAGAACAACCCATGGCCTATGGACACATATGGGATGGGAACCTGTGTACCACAGAATAAGGAATTGAGTTGTGCCAATTTCTTGAACAAGCTTGGACTCTGAGCTGCAATAAGAACGTTTCCCTGACCAACACCTTGGTTCAGTTGATGAGAACTTGACCAGAGAACACAGCTATGCCATGTTTATACTTTTGGCTTATAAAAATAGAGCTTTTCGTATGTTTCTAGGTTGGTGGCAAACTGTTTTGTTGACAAAAAGTATTTCAAGGAGGGTGGAAGGACTAGTTGTGATGCTTTAAACCCCACTCGGTGAGGTTTTAATTTTTTTCCCTCAAAATCTGTCAGCTTACGAGACTTGCTGATGTAGAGGTTTATTAACAATTTGCAATGCTTGTTTCCCCCATTATCATGGGACATGGTGACATGGTATATGTCTGGAAAACCCAGGATGCCTCAAAGTGTATATGCCTCTTAGATGTTCCAAGAGGGAACAGCTTGGTTGTCAAATGCCCATGCAAGTTCCTACCTCACGCATTCTTGTCATCATTTCAGTATTACTGCCTAGTTTCAGCTCTGTTCTATATTATATCACAGAACAATCTTATACAAACTCAGCATTTGTGTTTGGTGTGGTTTAGTAACAAAAGTAGTTTAGTTTTGATCAGGAGTTGTTAAATTGCTTTGCAATAGGCCTCTATATGTTCTGACTTGTAACTCTGGGTGCTATATAATCTTCTGTCTAGGCTTCCTAATCAGACCTCCTGCAATGTTTACAGGCTCAACAGACAGCGGGGAAGCTTGTAAAAGCCACCCAAGTACTTTGTGAAGCACTTGAAACTACAAGTTGGATGTCCTAGTAACTACGCCAGCCCTCGTTTTACTGCTTCAAAACAAATATGAAATATACAGAGTGGAGAGGTAATAAAAAACAATCCTGTGTGGATGATAGATAATAACGCTGTGCTTTGGAAATTTATATGTAGGGGAGTCTTCATGGAAGAAGTGTTTGAGTTGGCCTTGAAGGACTGTAGCCATCGACTGACCAGACTGTGGGCAGATTGGTCCTTATTTCAGGCAGAGTGGACAATTCTGCTCTGATATATTGGATGGTTATACAGTAAACCCACCTGGCTTCTCACTGCATAAAATAGGTTACAAGTAGATATTATTTTTTATCATGGTTTATAAAATTTCTGTTAGCCTCTAAAAATGCATATCAAGTAGGAATAGCTTCCTTACAGATTTTTCTGACTTCAAGAGTAGAGCAGAAAGTAAGAGAGGAAGGAGGGGAGCCAGAAGAGGAAGAAAAGAAAATTACATTTATACATGTTAACAAGGCAGTCTTGTGTGTGAAATGGAACCAAAGTTTATTAACCTTGGGGAAGGTGGCTTAAAAATGAAAAAAAAAAAAATACAAGCTAAATAATTGCAAGATACAAGATTTACTTTGGATGACTACATGTTACTCGAATTGTTCAGAATAACAGAACCTTGGCCTATGAATGTGTCTTGGTCAATAGAGTACTTTGCGAGCATGTGTGAGACTGTTCTCAGTGTGAAGAAAGAAGTGTGTGTGTGTCTGTGGGTACATGTGTGTGTGCCTATGTGTGTGTGCGCTTGAGTGTTCAGGAGTAAGGTAGACTCTGGGTATTTCCCTCAATTGCTCACCTTATTCATTGAGACAGGGTTGGTCTCTCACTGAACTTGGGGCACCACAGTTCCAGATGCTGAACAGCAAGCCCCAGTGATCCTCCTGTTTCTGCCTCCTCAGCGAAGGGGTTAAAGATAAATTCCCCTGGAATTTAACTACCTGAGTAGGCGCCACATTGGGTCCTCATGATTCACAGTGAGCATTCAAAACAATCAGACCAGATCTCAGACTATGTAAAAGGACTAGTTAGGATTGCTTAACCCCCAAGAATCTCTGGGCAGAAGAAAAGCCACCTTGAATCATTAAATAATGAAGGAGAGAAAGTGTGTGTGTGTGTGTGTTTTTTAAGGTGAATAAAATATATAAGGTCGAATCTAAAAATAAGCACTTCTTTTATTGCACTTTAATAAGTGGATCCATTTCACTCTTAAAATTTCTAAACTTAAATTTTCCCCCTCTACCAGGATGACACTTTATGTAACATTTATGATGTATTCTAAAAGACAGCTGAGCCAAGTAATAAGAATGCTGTAGGTACATCACATTCTCTGATTGTTTAAATTAAATATGCAGAGGAACAGTAGATTTTCATGCTCTGTACATCTGAGATAAGCCGCTACTACCTGGCAAGCATAGGGAGTTGTAAATCAATGAGAGATTCCGAGTACTCTATTTTATAGCAGACAAATTATCCCCCAACTTCCACCACTTTTGGAGGAAAGATAAGAGAATTGCTTAAAGGGAAAATTGTAACATGCAAGATTCCCATTTAAGTCATTTCTACCCAAAACTGTCTTCAATAATATTATATTAAAAAATGATGGGATAAATTATGTGAGGGTTCCTTCCCATTCCTTAGAGTCTTCCAGGCTACAGTCTTTAGATGGGTGAGAGTATTGATCTGACACAGCATTGGTTGGCAGTAATCATTATATAATTCAACAGGATTGCACCTAAGAGAGAGGATTCACTGCTCCTAAAGACTGACACAATTCTGGCCACATTGCAAACATCGTATTTACTTGGAAAACCATTTAGACTGAAGATGTGAAGGGAAATGACAGATGTAACGCTGATCACATAGAATCAAATATCTTAATGGGTGTGTCCTTTACTGACTTAGACATTTAATACACATCCATGCCCTCAAACACACATGATGATTACTCTGTCAAATATAGGAAGTTGGTACACTAAGCGAACCTACTCAAATAAGACAAAGAATGAAAACTCTGAGCTGAAATGCATAGGGATCTGAGGGACAAGATTAAGAAAAAAAATCAATGACATCTATCACTGAAAAAAAAAGTTCCATATTTTTGTGACTGCATTTATTCAATAAGCCATAGAGGCTAACTTCCTAAACTCCCTGAACCCTAAAGTCAGTGTTTGAAATCTGGTGAATAGAAAATAAAACCTGTCTTTAAAACTGGGTCTATGATTCCAAAGTCTCTCATGTGTAGAATGTGTGTGTGGTAAGGCCATAGGACAACCTTGAGCATTGTTCTGTCTTAAGAATTATCTGCCTCATGTGTGGGTTTTATTTGCTTGTCCTTCTGTTTGTTTAATAATTTGTTTGTTTGTTTGTTTTTGAAATAGTATCTCAATGGACCTAGAGCTCACCTAGGAAGGTCGGGTGGTTGGGGTGTGAGTTTCATAAATCTGTGTATCTCTGCCTCCCCAGAACTGGGATTAGAAGTACATAGCATCACACTTTGTGTGTGTGTGTGTGTGTGTGTGTGTGTGTGTGTGTGTGTGTGTGTTATGTGGGTTATGGGGACTGATCTCAGACATCATGTTTGTATAGTAAGGACTTTAAGGACAAAGATATCGCCAAAGCTCTGCTTTTCTTTTAGACAAAAGAATTTCTCAATTGTTTTATCACTCCATTTATGTACTTAAGAACAAAATTACTGGTGTTGAGATATTTTCCACAAATGGCTGAGCTCTGAAATTGAAGACTTGCATTATGGGGTCATAGTGAGGCTCATTTGGGGTCCTAAAATAATGTAATGTAAGTTGAGACTTTGAGTCTGAAGTCAGGTCTCTCAATTTGCAATGTGGTTCCCCATCTCATCAGTTCACTATCCTTAGACAAGAAGAGCACCTTCCTTGAGATTTTATATCATGTACAATTATAAGTGCAGTAATTTTTCAACCACAAAGCAGTGATGGTTATGTGATGAATGTAAAACAAATGACACAGAGCCTGAAATATAGAGGCTGTCAAAAATTATTAGTTGTCTTCTAACATAGAGAATGCTAATGAATTATCCTGGCCTAAGATGCCCTGAGAATGGGTCAAGTTCCTGCAGTAACGCTTTAAGCAATTAATAAACCAATCCTTGACAGACTCGAAAGAGCAGTAAAGCATCTAAAGGCAGAAGCCTGTGAGCCAATAACTATCACTCAACAAAAATTTCTTATCTTATTTTGATACTTGTTTTCTAGTATCCAAATATATTGCAATGCTATCTTCTTGATAGCTTAATGTCACTGTAAACTTTGAATCATTAGAAAAAAAGATTGACAGTCAAAGATAGGAAGGATTGGATTTCTTGGCTAATTTTTCTTTGATGTACTTCACAAATTTAGGTAAGTAATAACAAAAAGTATTAGGGTGTGTTAACCCTCTTTTGTCCTCCTATACGTTTCCTCTAATAGCAGAAGTTGACCACCAGCGTCTGGATGTCTTTAACCTAGAATAGTTTGACCTGTTAACAGACATGTCAGGCAATCAGGATCTGATGTCCCTTTCCTCTGCCTTTGAATGGGTGTGCCTGAAAGTTTTTTATTTATTTATATATTTATTTTTCTCTTTGGTTTTTCATTTTAAAAGTCCATGGCTTGGGAGGTCATAGGCCCTGGGAGGGAACTTATTACTGTTGTTTAGTCAAGTTGTCATGGAGACAAACTGCATTCTAACTATTTCTGCTTCTAACTGTAACAAATGCTACTTATCAGGAAAGCTTCTTTGCGGTGAATGGTAGTAAATGCAGACTTGTGCCCATTCATGGTGTTGAGGATATGGGGGGGAGATGAGTGCCCACCCATGTATGGGGCATTTGTACTGCTCCCTCTAAAGGGCAGAGCTATCACACAGGGAGCTGAAAGAATGTAAGTGGCTGGAAACCAGAGAGAAGGGCCATGAAATGGCACAGCTATTGCAAACATATCTCATGCCACTGCAGTTGCCTGCCCTGGGACTGCACAAGACTTGTTCCGTCAACTGCCAATCATGACTGGGGCAGGGACTCAGGGAGATGCCCGATGAGCTATCAGTTTCTGGTGGGCAAGAGATGCAACTGTTCTCAGTTGTGTTTCCACTAATGAACCCATCAGGCTCAGACAGACATTTTCAAAAGTGTGGCCACAAAGATGGTTAAAAATCAGTGGGTTACAAAGCAAACAAGCAAAAAGACATGGATAGGAGGGTACAAAGAGAGAGTACGGAAAGTGAGAGTAACCAGAATGCATTGTTTCAATGGTTCTCAACCTTTGGGTCGAGTCCCCTATGGGTGCTGCATATAAGGTATCCTGAATATCAGATATTTATATCATGATTCATAACAGTAGCAAAATTACAGTAATAAAGTAGAAATAAAATAATTTTATGGTTGGGGGTTGACACAACATGAGGAACTGTATTAAAGGGTTTCAGCAAGTTTCCTATAATGTTTATATTTTATCTTGAAATGTATTGAATTAAATATGCCAGGACTGTTCAAGAAAGAGGTTCTCAAAATACCTTGTCCAGATTTCTAGATGTACTTTCCCCATGAAGGCTCCTTTAGCATAATTAATTATAATTAATTATAATTATAATTAATTAATTATTATAAAAAATAATTAATGCAAATAGTTCACATACACAACAGTTAAGGCAACTATCAATTGTAAGACATGATCCTTGGGAAAGCTATCCAGTCTTCAGAAAAACTATTTGGGGAATTAGCAACACTCACTTTGCATAAACAATGAGTTGAAATGAAAATGCAAAGAAGTGATAATGCTTTACAGTTACACGTATTCAAAGCGAGAGACATTTGAAATTGAGTTTAACGCATATAGACGTGTTAAATTTTCAGACAAGAATTAGATAATTAATATACCATTCGTATTTATATGCTGATAAATATATGTTAAAATCAGTGGGTCACAAAACAAACAAACAAAAAGATACGGGGGTAAAAATGGGAGTTGGTGGGGAGGGGCTCCAAAGATGAAGTACACAAGATGACTGTCCTCTAAAACACTATCAGGAATCAGGTGAACAATAACCCAGTAGCCACCTGAGTCTCAACTGCCATGTCAGTCCACCCTGGACATATGTCGGCAGCTATCACAGGCATGCTGTGAATTAGAAAATTGCTTTCTGTTGTAGAAGGATCCCTGTACCTGCTCCTTCCCCCAAAGTCCATCTATCGAGCCTTGATTGGCGTCTCAGAAAGACTGAGGTTCCCTGTCCATTGGGAAGATTGGTTCATTTCTGAGCCTGAGAAAGCGTGTTTTTCCTCATTGGTAAGGAGAGTGAAGAATCTACATGACAAAGTCCTAAGAACCTGAAAAGCTGGGCAGCCTGCAAGGGTTTGCGACTGGATTGCTATTCCCACAGTCCCTTAAGGGGACTCAAAGGAACTGCATGCCGGATTTACCTCTAGGATGGATGTCTGCACTTGCAGGATCTGTTCATGGCCTTTGAGCTGCCGAATGCAGATTTTGCAGGACAGCTGGGTGGTGGTGGGCGTGTAGCGCTCCAGGGAGAAGGCACAGTGCAAGGGCTGCCGGTTGCTGCTCCACACGCGGGAGAAGGGGACCTCCTGTAGAGGGGGCGGCGGGGAAAGGGGAGAAGAGGGCATGAGAGACAGAGCCCCGCTTAGAGAGGAACCAGAACAGGAGAGACTTAATCACAGTAATTATGATGATGATGATGATCATAGCAAATATAATTGCGTAAATGAGCTTGGTGGAATTGTAGAAATAATGTTTCAGCATATGCCAGGCAGCACAGAAGTAATTAATATCTATTTCCAATTGATAACATTTAAATTCCTAAGCCATGCTGCAAGAGCTCAGATTTCACTCAATGACACACACACGTGCGAGCACACACACACACAAACACACACACACACACACACACAATTAAAATACCATTAAAACTTAACTCTCCCCCACACACTAAATATTATCCTCCTTAGAAGGCTTCTGTAGTCCATCCTCCTAGATAAGCCTGGAGTAGAAGGCTACCTTCTCATTTTAGTGAAAATTATGCTGAGAAATTGACTGGCCTAAACACAGACTCATGTAAACTTTTATAGGGACACTCATTGCCAGTGTATGTGATAAAACTGCATACAGCCCAGAGAGAGACACCATATTCTTGGCACTCAGAGAGACAGAGATATCTAATCACCTATGCAGGGTCATGAGAAAGATAAGTGGGAATGGCTAGACACTACATAAGTGAAATATACTAGCAATTTAGGTCTGGTCCCATCCTCAAGTGATCAGTACAACTCAGTGGAAAATATAGATTTTACTAAATAAGAATGGGAACTATTCCTTTTTCCTAATACTAGCTCGATCATGCTGACAAAGGCATTTTTTACAGTTTTCTTTTTTCTTTCTTTTCTTTCTTTCTGCCTTCCTTCCTTCCTTTTTTTTCTCTCTCTCCATTCTCCTCCTCTTCTTCTATATGCTTCCTAGTCAAATGTGGGGAGTTGTCAATGACCACATATGCCCAGCTTCTAACAATCTTCATCATCACTTTTATTTCCTCTGTATATCACCTTGTTAATTTGTTCCTTTATTGATAAAAATAGAATTTTCTGCAATACTGAAACTTAAAAGAGGCAAGAGATGTGTGGAGTCTGGAAGCCAGAGACTCTAAAGTGTGGCTGGTGATAGGCCTGTAGTGTGTTATAAGACCAAGGCCATGACTATAATTATTCACTTCGAGAAACCACTTTTTCCCAAGCTCTAATGTTCACACTTGTTTGTATGACTTGCTTCCTGATTTTCTCTGCGCGTTACACAGATTTAAATTTGGTATACTTTTGTGAGTAACTGTTCTTCCAGCCAAGCAACTGCCATCTTGGGATGTTCAGCTCTGCAAAATGTTCATCCCAGCTGGGCTTCTTCACTGTTAACATCCCCCTCATAGTGGAGTAGGAAGGGTCATGGGACCCTCATCTAAGTATCCATCTGTTCCCTTTCATCAGCTATATACAACTCTGTCTTAATTACATGTGGCCTCAGGGAGGAACAAGTGCATATAAGCTTAGGGAGACACAGAGGAAGGGGCTCTATCTATGCAACTATGGGAAAACCCTCATCTCTGATGGATTAGGACTTCCCAGGTGTGACCTAGGTAGGTGAGAGGTACCCAAACTCCTGTCATAAGCATCTCACTGTAAGAAACCTCCCCAAAAATACTCACTGGTTCCCAAGAGTGGATGTTGGTGTAGAAGTCCTTCAGTTTGTCATTGGAACCTTAGAAGGGGGGGGGGTGCTGTGTATGTCTCCCCCTGGGAAGGGATTTTAGTAACAGATACTTTCTGGAGAAACCATCAAAATAGATGGATTTTAGACTTGTAGATTGTTCTATGCTTAAAGAGGAGATATCTAACTTTGGAGAATACAAGAGAACAGAGTCAAACTTTCACAGTTATCATCCGTTTTAACAAGAATGTAAGAATCATATAGGGCTTTTGTTTTATTTGTATTTGTTCTTAATCCTGAGCCAAAGAAGAGTCAGCAGACTTTCCTGCAAAGATGTACAGAGGGATCAGAGGAGGTCTCAGGTGTGACATTAATTTATAGCATTTCACAGTTCCTCCTCCTGAGCTCTCTCCCACCCTGAAATCCACACGTTACTCCTACTTCATGCCTCAGCCTCCTAGACCCCTGCCTCTGTCCAGGAAATGCAGTCCCATCTACCTGCTCATGGCCAACTGTCATCTCCTTTTGTAGGGCTCTAATAACTACATCTCTGGTACTTGCCTCCTCATAAGACCCTGGCACTGTGGATCTGAGATACTCCACAAATGCTATGTGACCTTTAATTCTTAGACAGTTTTATTATCTCTCTTCCAGGGTCGTTCAGCACACCTTCCTAACCCCATTATCAGTATATTGGCATTCAACAGACAACGGCATTATGGTTACTCACTTCTAGTCATTATGTGTATTGGTTTGAGAAGAAATGGCCCCCACAGACTCATGTGTTTCCATGACTGGCCCATAGGGCATGGCACTATTAAGAGGTGTGGCCTTTTCGGAGTGGCTGTGGCCTGGATGGAGGAAGTGTGTCACTGTGAGGTCAGGCTATGAGGTCTCCTATGCTCAAGCTACACCCAGTGGAGCATACAATCTCCTTCTGCCACCTGCAGATCAAGATGTAGAACTCTCATTTCCTTCTCAGCACCATACCTGCCAGCATGACACCACGTTTCTCATCATGGATAATGGACTAAACATCTGAAACTGTAAGTTACCCAATTAAATGTTGTCCTTTATAAGAGTTGCCACTACAAAATTAACTCAAAAAAATCAGTAGCACTCCTGTATACAAAAGACAAAAGGGCTGACAAAGAAATTAGAGAAACAACACCCTTCACAATAGCCACAAATGACTATAAAGTGCCTTGGTGTAACCCTAACCAAGCAAGTCAAAGACTTGTATGAAAAAAATTTCAAGTCTCTGAAGAAAGAATTAGAAGAAGATATGAGAAGATGGAAAGATCTCCCATGCTCATGGCTTGGCAGGATTAACATAGTAAAAATGGCCATCTTACCAAAAGCAATCTACAGATTTAATGCAATTCCCATCAAATTACCAACACAATTCTTTACAGACTTGGAAAGAAAAATTCTCAACTTCGTATGGAATAACAAGAAACCCAGAATTGCTAAAACAATCCTCTACAATAAAAGATCTTCTGGAGGTATCTCCATCCCTGATCTCAAGCTGTACTATAGAGCAACAGTTATAAAAACTGCATGGTACTGGCATAGAAACAGAATGGTGGATCAATGGAACCAAACAGAAGACCCAGAAATAAACCCACACACTTATGGACACCTGATTTTTGACAAAGATGCCAAAACCATACAATGGAGAAAAGATAGCATCTTCAACAAATGGTGCTGGTCTAACTGGATGTCTACATGTAGAAAAATGAAAATAGATCCATTCTTATCACTCTGCACAAAACTAAAGTCCAAGTGGATTAAAGACCTCAACATAAAACTAGACGCATTAAATCAGTTAGAAGAAAAAGTTGGGAAGAACCTAGAACTCATTGGTACAGGAGACAACTTAATGAACAGAACACCAACAGCACAGGCTCTAAGAGCAACAATCAATAAATGGGACCTCATGAAACTAAAAAGCTTCTGTAAAGCAAAGGACACCATCATCAAAACAAAGCGACTGCCTACAGATTGGGAAAGAATCTTCAACAACCCTTTACCTGACAGGACTCATATCCAGTATATATAAAGAACTAAAACGTATATATAAAGAAGTATATATAAGCTGAAAAGCAGCAAACCAAGTAATCCACTTAAAAAATGGGGAACAGAGCTAAACAGAGAACTCTCTGTAGAGGAATATCGAATGGCAGAGACACATTTAAAGAAATGCTCAACCTCATTGGCCATTAGGGAAATGCGAATCAAAACAACCCTGAGATTTCACCTTACACTCATCAGAATGGCCAAGATCAAAAACTCAAGTGACAACACATGCTGGAGAGGTTGTGGAGAAAGGGGAACCCTTCTCCACTGCTGCTGGGAATGTAAACTTGTATAACCACTCTGGAAATCAATCTGGCACTTTCTCAGACAACTAGGAATAGTGCTTCCTCAAGATCCAGCCATACTACTCCTAGGTATATATTCAAAAGAGGCACAAGTACACAAAAAGGACATTTGCTCAACCATGTTTGTAGCAGCTTTATTTGTAATAGCCAGAAGCTGGAAACTGCCCAGATGCCCCTCAACTGAAAAATGGTTACAGAAACTGTGAATGGCATATTACTCAGCAATGAAAAATAAGGAAATCATGAAATTTGCAGGTAAATGGTGGGACCTGGAAAGGATCATCCTGAGTGAGTTGTCCCAGAAGCAAAAAGACACACATGGCATATACTCACTCATATAGACATATAAGACAGTATAAACCCACTAAAATCTGTACATCTAAACAAACTAAGCAAAAAAGAGGACCCTAAGTAAAATGTTCAGTCCACATCCTGAAAGGCAAAGAGGATGGACATCAGAAGAAAAAAAAAAAAAAAAAAACAGGAAACAACCTTGGAACCTGCCACTGAGGGCCTCTGAAAGCCTCTGCCATGCAGACTGTCAAAGCAGATGCTGAGCCTGATTTCCAACTGTCGGGCAGAGTGAATGGAATTTTATATAAGAAGTGGGAAATAGTAAGAGCTGGAGAGGACAGGAACTCCACAAGGAGAGCAACAGAACAAGAAAATTTGAACACAGGGAACTTCCCAGAGACTCATACTCCAACCAAGGACTATTCATGGAGATAACCTAGAACCCTGACAATGCAGCCACTTCTCATGAGAACTGATAGACTAAGATCAGAAAGAAGGAGAGGAGGACTTCCCCTATCAGTGGACTCGGGGAGGGGCATGCATGCAGAAAGGGTGGGAGGGTGGAACCGGGAGGGGAGGAGGGAGGGGCTTATGGGGGGGATACAAAATGAATAAAGTATAATTAATAAAAGTTAAAAAAAATAAAAAAAAATGAGTTGCCACGATCATGATGTCTCTTCACAGCCACAAAACCCTAAGGAATTATGAGGGACACTGATGTGATCATTACCTAGGAGCTGAGCCTTATCCCATGATCCCTGTGCTTGGTGGTTCACAGCAGACCTCCAATATCTCACATTATAAATCAAGCCTCCTGCTTCATCTTTCCAGGCTTCAATCATCTTACGCCCTGTCCCCATTCTCTATATTCTCATTCTTATAATCTCTCCAATAAAATCTCTTCTTTAAACCAGTTGATCTCTGTAGTTCCTTTGTATATGTCTCCTTCAGAGGAACCAGTTACAGCATGGGGCTGTGAGGTTAATGGTTGGGTTTTACATTATAGGATAATTTAAGCACTTGGCTTCCAGGGTTATACAGTGTCCAGTTCAAGATCTATCACCTCAAAAAAATCTACATTTTCTGCTGTGGGATCCTTGGTAATATTTACACTTTCTTAAACTATGGTACTGGCCACTTACTTGAAAATGCCTCCTCTGATAATACTTGCTAAGTTTCCTGTATTTTCTCCCCAGACACTGGAATGTAGAAGATAAATACCCTCTGCAGAAATAGTCTTCCTTGTAGAAAGGCATGAGAATCAGCATAAAAATATCTTCTCTTCTGTCTCTTCATGCCATTGTAAGCAATCAAAACACTTAAATCTGTTTTTAAGACAGGACTGAAAGAATAGGTTTTTATTGTTGAATTCAATAGCAGCTGCCAATAGTGCTCAACAAAACAGTTAAAAATAATAGAACTGGAAGCTCTGTGATTAGTGTGTTTTCAGGGCAATTGTTGTTGCTTTCATTTATCCCAAAAAAGAAAGGGGGGGGAGGAAAAACCCACCCTCTACCCCAAAACAAAACAAAAACAAATCAAAAACAAATCACCAACAATGCTCACTGAGCTGAGAGAAATTGCACAGAAACTGTGCAGAGGACAAAGTGTAGCAAAGTTATGCGCGGTTAAAGAATTCCGGAAATGTTTTCATTCTGGTTCCCATTATAATTAGGTTCCTAGCAGATGGAGAGAATGTAAATCATATCCTAGCAGGAGACAGACACTGACTTCTAGAAGATTCATAACATGCTACAAAGACAGCTGTCTTTATCCCAGGGACATGACAACCTGACTTTGTGTTTTATTGGTTCTATATAAATAAATAATTGCTGCCACAGAGCTTATCATAGCTTTTCAACCCAGAGCCAACAATGGAAAAAGGAATTTATAATGAAGAGGCTTGAGGTCTCAGTGACCTATTAAGAGTCAGGGCTGTTTGGTCACCTTCCCAGGAGGGCAAGGAAAGAAGCGGAAGGCAGTAGTAGTGGATTCCTAATTATGGTAATCTTGAGTCTTGGGAAGAAAACATGGAAAGATGAGTTACTTGGAAATGCTAGCATCATGGGTAGAGGTTTTCCTGTGAACCAAAGTCAGTGGGTGCTCCTGATTGCTCTTCCCTCCTCTACTGCAGAAGTTGTATGACATTCTGTGTGATGTAGTGCTCCAGTACCTGGTCAGAACCTGATGTGATCCTGTTAAACACAGGCCTAGTCCCACAGCTCAGGACACAGAACCAACTCACTCTGTTTAAGAACAACCTGTAATATAGCTGCTGCTATCTGACAGGCAGATGTTTTTGGACCTCTCTCTCACACTTGTAGTTTCTTGGAAATTCGATCTCCCAGAAGAAAACAGGATGGCATTTGGAATGTATGTCAATTACAATAGATAAATTCCTAGACTGTCAATTTGTAGAAAAAGACAAATAGAGAGTAATGGCGCCTCCAGTTTTCCACACTTTGGGCTGAAAGATGACAAGGAAACTTAGTGGTTGAAGAAGAGAACAGATATCAGGAATAGTATGATTTTCTGTTTCTACAATGGCTCTCTGAGATAACCAGAGAGAGTTAGAGAAAGAGAGAGAGGTCCAGCTATTTTCTAAACATTAAGCCCTTAATGAATACTGTTTCTCTGCTATCCATACATACAATGACATACATTAGGTTCAAGCAGTCTGACCACAAACCCACCACTAAGAGCTTTGATCTAATGCCTGGAACAAACACGCATGACCATTAAACCCAGCAAAATAATCATTCAATACGAGGAACTTGGCCATGACATGGGCAAAGATTAGTGGGAAAGGATGGTGGAAAGGTGGAAAGAAATGAAGGACGGTGTGGAAAGTAATTCTGGGTTAGAAAAATGAAGTGGAAATGAAGACTTGGTTGGCAAGCCTCCTGACACTGGGAAAATGAAACTGTTTCTCAGCCTCCCAAGACCCTCTCAAACTAAGCTCAATTACAGAAGTCAATTACTTATACGTGTTCACAGCCTCCCTGGATTCCAATCCATGCTAATACTAAAGTGTATTGGAGTCCTTGCAACCTAAGGCCCTTTGGCTCTACCAGTGCAGTTGCATCCTGAGAGGTCTATGTGTACCTGACCCCTAGTCGTCTTCTGCTCAGTGTATTCTTTCTATGTCCCTGGTTTTGGAATTATTGTTAAAGAGCCTACAGAAAATTAACCTTTCATTCATTTAAAAAAAATCTTCAAGCATTAAATTTAATAGTGACTTTGGACTGAATGACTTGCATTAGACAAGGTGCAAAGTGGCCTTTCTAACCCATATAGATTAACATACAGGAATTCACCTGGTTATCGGAACTTGTTTTAATAACACCCTGACATTTGATCTAGGACAGAAACTTTGAATACTGCCTCCGGGAGAGCAAAGGCACTTAGGCCTTGAACGTCATCAGCACTACACTGATTCAAGAATCTTCTAGCTAGGAATCTGTTGAATGTGCCAAACTGAACGGGGGAAAAGGTTGGGGCCCTGAAAGATGCTGCTGTCACTTTGAATGTTTGAATGCACTAAAACTGTCTAGGGAGGCATGGTGCCCAAAGAATTACAAGATTTAAATGGGAAAATAATTTGAGACTCCGCATTTTACAAGTTGGAAGCATTGATGGCCTGAAGTCTCTCTATCATGGAATGTCTGTGTTTTTGTTTTTGTTTCTTTTTTTTTTTTCTTTGCAAGTTGGCTGTTTCCCCTTCTGAATAACTATATGTCAGTGTCAATAAAGAATGTGTGAGTGTGTGTGTCTCTCTGTGCGTGTTTAATAAATACTAGGAGAATGAAAAGGTTAAAAAGCTCCACACAGCTCTGAACTTCATGCTGCCAGGCATAAATATGCTCTGCAAATGCAGATCAACATGGGCCCACCAGAAACTATTCCAGGGTTAAAGAAATATCCTGTCACTTGAGGCAAAGGAAACCCACTTATGACAAAAATGTAGGAAATTCTCAGACTTTGAGGTCAGCATCACAAACTTCTCTTTTTTAATGGCAAACATAAATAAATAACCTAAGATGCTTAAAAAACTTTATTAAGTGACAAATGAACACTGATCTATAAATGTCTTTATGTATTTATAAAAGGACTCCTAGGAGACTTCCTCTTGCCTTTGCTTTCTGACTAGGGGTATCATCTCATCTTGCTCATTGCATTTGGCAGCAAGCATCTCACATATGATGGGTAACAGCTCTGTTCTCAGCCATAACTATCACTCAAAATCATCACCCTGAGACGTTCTGCTTCTTCACTGCTGACTGTGATTAAAATAACGTCTCACGATGATTGATTTTAATAAAAACAACACACGGCCCTTAAATTTCCATCTTCAACCCATACTGAACAATTCAAACACAACACAGTAGTGTCACAGAACCCGAGATGCAGGCACTTCTTTTCCCACTTGATAGACACCTCTGAATTTATGACAATATGTTCTTTCCTGTGTGTGCCCAAACCGTTTTATCATTGACAGTTTAGAGGTGCAATCCATACCAGAAGGCCCCTCCCAGGTTTGCTGGTCACAGAAGAGCTGTTCCCACGATAAGCCTGTTTGGTTGATACCTGGCATGCAGTGAATGGTTTGATCCTCCAGAGGAATGGAGGGATGTCAAGGACCGAGATCTGAAGACTGAAGGTGTTCCCTTTGAAATGCAGCAGCTTTGGTTCTTCCAGGAGCTGGCCGCCTTGGTGTCGTTCATCAGAAACCACTTCCTGTAGGAGCAGGAAAGAAAAGGAAAAGGCACACTGAAGCATACAGCCATTTTTGTACACACTCTTCTATGGTATAGACATACACTCCCATGTGTACTTGTGACAAAACACACACTTCCATAGCCAGACAGAGTCCCAGACTTAGGATTAAAAGCTGCTTAAAAAAATCAGGATTTGATCATCAAGAAACAACTGTTCTTTTTTGCTCATGTTATGTTGGCCTATTTACAGTTATTTTGTGGTGCGCGCGTGTTTGTGCAGAGGTGAGAAGACAAGTTGCAGGAATCATTTGTATGCTACTATGTACATTTCTGAGATTGAACTCAGCTCATCAAGCTTGGAAGCAAGTGCCTTCACCTGCTGAGGCATCTTGATGAGCCTTGTAGAGTATCTTTATTAGTGTGCGTTCCTTACACCAAATAATTGGCATCATCAGGGCATTTTACACGTGTACATCCTTTAATCATAACAATCCCATCACCTTACATAGGCCCTTTTCTACCTTTGTGTCTCTTTTTTTTTTTTAAATCTAGAAATTGTGTGAGAGTTCATGATTTTTGTGAGCCTGTATCATTTCACTAACATGATAATCTTCAGTGGCATCCATTTTCTCATAGATGCAGTTTCATTCATCATTATGGCTGAAAAATACTCCTGCGTATATTTGTCACATTTACTTTCTTGATTCGCTAAGTTGGTTATTGTCAACAGTGCTGCACTGAGCAAGGCCACGCGGGTGTCTTTGTGCTATGCTTAGATTTCACCATGAGTGCTACTCCTGGATCAAACTGTATGTCTTTTAATTTTTCTGAGGAACCTCCATACTCATTTCCATAACAGCTACACTAACTCACATTCCCTCCAAAAGTCTATAGAAGGGCTCCATCTGCCTCCAATTACTTGAGCCAACATTTGTTATTTATTTTCTTGATAATATTCTTTCTGGCTTCTTTTAAACTAACTGGGATTTGCTTAAGCTAAAAACTCCTCCTTGGCACCAGTCTGATTCCAATGCTATCACTGGCTGTGATATTGCGCAAGGACCGGCTGCACAGACAGTACTACACTGCCCTTCACAATACAGGCAGGCAAGGTGTTTTCTACTCTCCTGCAATTCTTCACTACGGCAGGCATTATCTAACATTCTTTTTTTTTTTTTTTTGTCTCAAAATAAATGTGCTAGAATGTAATAGCATTCAGAAGAGTTTTTAAGCTAAAAGGCCAAGAAAAACAAGTTCTTTATCAAGTTAGCTTGACTTCAGAAACAAGAAATCGAATTTCCAAGGTAAAGACTCCTGTATGTTTCACTGAGAGATCACTGTAATTACTCGGATGACAAACAAAGCCCACACAGGTTCTACTGAGCAAACACTTAATTGCTTCTGAATTTGTTGTGACCAGAATTACATTGATAGGGTAAGTGGGATGCTTAGATAAATATGTATTCTGCAATGTATTAAATTCCTGCAGAGGTAAGGCTTTCAGTGGCTGGAGGTGAGCCCCCTTCCTAGGTCTATTTGTAGAACCACCCTTGACTTGCAGTTTCCTTGCAGATCTAGGAGAAATAGCAAGCGATCTGGCCTGTCTGCTTTTTCATCCCCAAGATACTGCAATCAGTTCCTCAGCAAGTTGCTGAGGAAGCACAACTCTTTCAGTCATCAGATGCCAAAAGCATCTTCATGGTGTGTCTGTCTTCTGCTTTGAGATATAAGGACACAACCTTTGTAAGGTTCTAGGAATCTGAGTTATAAGAGCTTCACATACTTGGCAAACATTCTAACATACACTTGCATCCTTGTCTTTAAAAAATGTTTTATTTAGCGACAGGCTATCACTAAGTTGCACAGGTAGGCCTGTGTTCATGAATCTCATGTGTTAGCTGGCCATGTGGCTTATACATTTGGGTTACACAACTGGATGTAGAATGACTGGCAATTGTAAAATGGTTCTAATTTTTATTCTTGAGTAGTTTGCTGGCAACACTTTTTTTTTTTTGAACTTGACATAACCTAGCGTCATCTGGGAAGAGGGACCCTCAATTGAGAAAATTACTCCATTGCATTAACCTGTAGAGAAGTCTGTGGGACATTTTCTTAATTAATGATTGATTGATATGGAAGGGTCCAGTACACCATGGACAGTGCTGTGCCTGCACGTGTCACCGTGAGGTATATAAAAAGAAAACGAAATAGTTCACGGAAGCAAGATGCTAAGCAGAGTTCCTCCAGGGCTTCAGCTTCAGCTTCTGATTCCATTTTCCTGCTTGAGCCTGGTGAGTTTCCTTCATGATAGATTGCGACCAAGATGAGAAAGGCAAATAAAGCCCTTTCCTGTCCAAACACCTTTTGGTTATGTGTTTTCATCACAGCAATAGAAAGGAAGCTAAGACAAGTAGCCCTTGGAGAGGTTGCTCCTCTCGTATGTCAGGATAAAATGACCAAGGTCCAAGCCATGTTCTGCAGCTCTGTGTTCTTGCTGGTGGAAGAGCATTTTGTGTAACCTGCACACCAGCATCAAGCTTGCTATGATCATGCAGGCATTCTCTTTCCTCACTGTCCTGCACACTGACCACGAACCATGATGGCTATTAAAGCACATGAAATGTGGCAGTGTATATAACAATGACTGTGCCAGGCAGACATTTCATGTCATTACAGACTGAAGAGTTGGTTACAACATGTGACCCGTGTCTTTCATGCAGAGTGGTGGGAAATGGACAGGGTGGGAAAGAGAATTAATCCCAATTAATTCCAAATGTGGGACACTGGCATCTTAATAGATGAAGTCAGTAGTTCCTTCATGTGAGATTTAATGAGTGACTACTGGAGCTATGCTCAGGATGGACATTGACTATTTAGCTATGGCACCATATACCACCAAGCAGTTGACAGATGATTATTATGCTGTAATCATGTACGAGAATATATCTATTCACGTAACTGATGATTTATATCACTAAGTGCTGCATTTGCAGGTATCTTACTAAGGTCAGGAGGGCCCTCCCAAGAAAGTTATTTGTCTAAGGTTATACAGCCAATGACAGAGAAAAGGCTAGAATTGTGCACCTTTATCACAATCCAATATTTCTTTGCATAGAAATTCTTACGTTTTGTGATGCCAGGCTTACTGTTTTCTTAGTCATGGGACATTCAGGCCATTACCGCTGCTCTACCATGAATCACTTTTTATTGATACAAGACATAGTTTAAGAAGACATAAAGCAATGTATGTTTACTATAATATATATTCTACATTTTAAAGAATGTTTATATATATATATAAACATTTATATACAAGCATTTTTGTATATATAAACATATGTAAATTAAACATTCTTTAAAATGTAGAGCATGGGACAGGAATGGTAAAGAGATAGTTCAGTGTGTAAGAGCACTCGGTTCGGGAGCCTGAGGATCTGAGTTTGGATTCCCAGCACCCACGTAGAAGGCCAGGCCTGGCTACACCTTCTGTGTGTCAGCACTGGGGCCTGACAGTGAAAAGAATCCAAGAGCTCCATGGCCAGAAAGTTGGTGAGAGATCTTAACTCAGGGCAGTCAGAGGAAGGAGAGAGCAAGACACCTGACATTCTGCTCTGATGTGCATGCGCATGTGCACAAGTTCATGCTCATCCGTACTCGCATGCACACCTCCCGCAGGCAAACCACACTACACACACGCTATAATACACACATTCATATACATCGCACACACAAGAAATAACACATACTACACACACATACACAACATATGCTGATATACAAGACACCATACCGACTTAACACAGAGACAGTACAAAGAGGAGAATTTGTAAAATGAATGTGTAGTTACTTAAAATTGCCATGTGGTGGGAGCTATCTTTTTAAATGTCTTCCTTTCGGCTCCTTAATTTAAATATAACTGTAATTATGCTTTGTCTTTTAGCATACTGCTATGCAAAAACCAGCTATGTGCAATTAACATTATTGCCTAGTCTTTAGCAAAATATTAAGCAATTAGATAAAATTTGAAGCAAAGTAATTATTAAATGACAAGGCCTAATCATGAGGTAATCACCATGTTTACATATTTATAAATTTATAGCTGTCTTTAGAGTCAAAGAAATAAACTACCCTACCAAGTACACAGAACTTCAAAAGAGAATATATTGAACTTGTCAGAGAAGTGTGATCCTGAGTGCAATAAACTGGATTATTCCCAGAAGCTTGATAGTCAGGCTTTTGTTGTTGTTAATTTTTAGATATGGTTTTTGATATTTAGCCAAGGCTGTCTTTGAACTAAGGATTCTCCTGCCTCAGCCTATAGAATGCTGTGTTACAAGCATACACCAATACAGACAAATATACATCGGTTTGTGAATCAGTGACCCACACAGCTCTACCGAACCAATTTTGAATCATCTACAGGAACAATGAGGCCTGACAGTCACTCTATTTTTGCCTCCTGTTAAATCCCTCCTACTGATTAACTGGTTCTGTGTACATCAAATGTACCTGACATGCTCTGGACGACAGTTTTACTGGGCCCTCGACTTCTTCATTTCACACTTAGGCCTGCAAACCATCCAGCTCTTGAAGCTGCAGCCAGGAGGAACCTGCACATTGCGGCTCACTGAGCTCTTTATGTTGATTTAATGAGACAGCCAGCAATATTCAGGTATGCTTCAGGGATACTAACAGAGACAGCCTGAATTTACATATTTATGAGACAAAACTGTTTGAACTCACACACACACACATTGTGTTGCTGTAGTGTTTTCCTTTAAATGCTTTACATGAACAATATTTCCTAGGGTTGCATTATTGATAAACATAAGAACTACATCTGGAGGAAATCCTTTGAAATTAGGTTCTAAATCCACATTAATGCCAAGCAAGTAATGAGTACTGAGAGGTACTGCATAGAAGTTCTGAGCACCATGAAGAGAAAAAAATGAGGTGTTGTGTTTTTCTTTCCTTTATACTCTGAGATGAAGATACAAGATATCTTAATTCCTTGCTTTCCTCATGTCAAAGTTTTTTTTGTGTGTATGTCTGTGTGTTGTGTGTGTGCATGCATGCACATGCTCATGCATGTGTGTTACTGTTTCATAAAACATAGTAACAAGACCAGGTCTTAAAATGTAACTTCTTTGAAAATTTATCTCCAATCCTCGGCCTTGAGTTTGCTGCCGCCAAGAAGGCAGTGTTTCAGGACAGAGGCATAAAATGGCTGCTCCCGACATTGCAGAGGAAGCACAGAGGATTGAGCTCCTTTGGCTTTCCTCAGTTCACCCTTTTCTCACCTCCATGCAGCTAACATTTTTTATTTGTTAGCAGCACAACTGAGTTGATCTAGTTTGTTATAAAGTCAGTTTTAGATGTCTTTATTAGAAAAGATCTTAAAACGTCTAAGCCTACATCAAAACACATCTTAGGCACTGAGGAGACAGCTTTGCTTTTTTTTTTTTTTTTAATTTCATTTGAAATTACTGTTTTTACCCAGTATAGTGCAGACAAATTAAAATTAAGCTAGGTATCCTTTTAGGCAGGTCAGAGGAAAAGAGACAGGCTAGAAAAGCGAGGTTTTGTCCATTTCTTCAACTTCTTCAAATGGAATATAACTTGATGGAAGCACTTGCATTGCTTGGCCACAATCAGGTTTTAGCATACAGGTAGATTCAGTCTAAAAGCTCATCCTCTTGCAAAGTCATCTAGAACTTGAGTACTTTGTGGGAAAGAACTTCCCAGTAAGATAGGAATAAGACAAAAGACATAACGATGCCTTAGTAGCAGCCTTCCATCTTGGTGAAGAGCCAAAGTAGCTGAGCACATATTTGTTATCATTTCTTTGAGATGCAATAAATACAATAGTTGTCACAAGCATGTCCTAACTATGAGAAACATTTCATTATAGTGATAGTTTAAACAAATTCTAAGATGGACAATATCTGCTGAAATGCTTTATGAAAAAAAAATCTATACTAATTTTGATGAACATAAGCACTATTAAAAATGCTAAAAATTATACATCAGAGAAAAGATAGTCTTTCTATTACTGTTGCTGACAAACTCTGATATTCACATGAAGAAGAGAAAAATTATCCCTATCCCTTACCCTGTACAAAAGTCAACCTTAGGATAGACAAGTTGGCTTAGTGAGTAAAGGTGTCTGCCATCAAGCCTGGGGACCTGAGTTTGATCCCCAGACCCTACATGATAGAAAAGAACCAATTCCCACAGAGTCCTCTGATGTCTGCATGCGCACGCGCGCGCGCACACACACACACACACACACACACACACACACACACGTATGTTCACTTCCCCTTTGGGAAGCTAAGATTAAGAGTGTCCTTTACAATGACTTGTGTTCCTTATAAGATAGAAAAGGGAAGCAGGTTTGGGAATGTAAGTTGGTGTCCTCTCCTTCTTATGTTCAGGACTCAGGTCCTTGTATCTCTTCTATTGGCAAACAAATAAGTTTTCCAGCTCAGTGTATTAAAACCAAGTTATTGAGGAAATTCTCTGAAAAATGGACTTATTGACCCAGGGCTGGGAAAGCAGGAGTCTAGAATGAGGTGTGTCAGGAGATCTATGCTGTTCATATATCAGCAAAACTTCCACAGACTGTTCTGTATGATCCTTGCTTCTATTAATAAGCCACACTCTTCAGGAGTATCCAATTTAGGATATATATTACACGGTTGCAAGTACCAAAAATAGAAAAGAACATTAAACTACCTCTGTCCTAGTAGCCGGCTCTTAGACTCTGTGTCCAAGAGGCAATATGACTGCCTAGTGTTAGATGATAGCTCACTGTTGTTCCCTAACTCCATCCTTCAGTAGACTCAAGCAATTTTCTCACTGCTCTTTTTGCATCAAATAACTCTGCTCTGTGTTTTGTGTCAGTTTTCTTTTTTGACCACGTATCTCTGTCTTGTGCTCTCAAGTGTCATCCATTCATGAGGGTTTGCAAAATGTTCTAAAAAAGTCTTCTCCAACTCTTGTATCACATTATCATTTATTTTTCTGAATTATGACTGTACTTTTCAATTGTTTCCCAATTTAGTAGACAGTGCTTTTTTGTGTGTGTATGAATTTAATCTGTGTCCCTTCTTGTCAATTGTCTCATCTCCTTCACATAGGACACACAGTAACATAGCTCTTACTCAGAGTAGTGTAGATACCATTTCCAAGTTTTCAACAAAGAACCTTTTACCAATACTGGTGTTTAGAAAGCTGTAATGGTTTAAATGAGAACTGTTCCCGCATAGGCTCACATATTTGAATACTGTTCCCCAGTTTATGACACTGTTTAGGGAGGTTATGGAAGCAAGATGAAGTTTGCCAAAACAGATATATCACTGAGGGCAGACTTTGAGGGCTTATAGCCTTGCCCCATTTGTCATTCCCTCTCTGCTTTCTGTGTGTTGATGAAAATATAATCAGCCAGCTTCGTGCTTCTGTTATCATAGCATGTGGTCCCTGCCATGTTGGACTTTATCCCTCTGGAACCATAAGCCAAAATAAAATAAACCTTTTTTTTTTTTTTTTTTTTTTTTTTACTTTAGGTTGCTTTTGGCCATGGAAATTTATGACAGCAACAGAAAAATAACTAATAAAGATAATCATAATTTTCCCAGTACCAAAAGAACAATTATAATGAAAAGACTGACCTGAAATGCACAAGGAGTATTGTCCACACAGTAAACTCTCAGGTTGTAATCCAAGGAGTTACAGGACATGCAGCCAAACACAGCCACTTTGAGCTGCTTTACGGCACAGTCTGTAATTGGCTCTCCTGTGAGGGCATATGTTCCAAAGCTGTCAAGGAGCACATGACAGGCAAAGGGATCCAAAAGGCAGTAACAGGATGTGGACTCATCCTCCACTGACATCACTTCCTGTTAGAGAAAGATGTGCTCAATTCTTTCCATTTGGAAACACCATAGAGTCCAATAGTTTACATATACATAAATAAATAAACATTTCCAGAATGTTTTATTGTCCTAAATATCAATGTTAGATGGTTTTCTATTAAAATAACTGCTGAAGGCAAGAATGCATGAAATGGTTATGTACAGTGTGATGTCCATTTTAATAGGAATGATAACGAACATTGCTTTGAAATTTCCATTTCTAGTTAATCGTTCAATACCGGTTTTTAAAAAGTTGACCATTAACCTCAATAGGCACACTTGCATTATTATCACTTTTTTGTGAAGATCTAATTCTGAAAACCTTCTTAAATACCCTTAAGTTGATGTTTATTTTCGCTCTAACACTTTATCCTCTTTCATTTCACTGCAATCATTCGCAAGGGACCATCAAATGAATGATTTGGATAAGATGTACTAGACTACTTCACCCTCTCTGATAAGAACTTAGGCATGTGTGACTGGATTGGTGGAGTGTAAATACAACACCATCTGGATGGAGAAGATTGTGAGGAAAAGCTGAGAAATAAAGTGGTACAAAATCAAGGCAAAACAAAACATCAAGGGGAAGGAGAGTGCTATGTGACCCCTCTATGAACTTTGTAGCCCAAACATTCTCCCAACACCAGGATCCAATGCATAGCAGAATATGATCTAGAACAAAGAAAATGGACTGGGCTCAAGATATAGCTATCTGTGCCTGGCAAATGCGATCCATTTCAGCAACTCTGTATTTTCTCAAAAAGAAACATTATTTTCTTTTACTTCTTTTGCCTGAAGCACCTCCTAGGAGTTAAGATCCCAAGACCAGAATGTGCAGGTCACTGTGTTCCAACAAGATAATTCACCTTCTTTCATACAAACTGACTTCAGATGGACATAAAGAATTCCCTATCAGACAGGCAAATCAGTACTTTCACTTAAAATAGTAATTCAGTTGCAATCTTTCTTAGCTGTAACTGTCTCTTTGGTTGATCACTTCCTATTATGTATTCTCATTCCTTTTCCTTGCCTCTCTCAGATTGAGATATATCTCTTTGCATGGACTTATTTACACAGGAAATCAGTGGTGGCAATCCTCCATGTATTTGCTAATGCTGCAAACATAGATTCAGAACAGAGTGCCTTCCTGAATACTTCTAAATGTAGCCTGTTTTCCTTGTGCTACAACCTCATCGGCACAGAGTAATGTCAGTTTACAAAACAGCATGGACCAGGAGGAAGTCTGGAAACTCAACAAGCAGGTGCGTAGAGTATACATCTCTGGGTAATCACTACTGGGTTCTCAGACCAAACAACTCTGGATTATATTTTTGCCTCTGTTTCCATCATTACTTGAAAAGCGTAGCAAATACCTAGAGGATTGTATAAAATGAATGCCCCAACTGCTTGACAACTAGCAAGTGTTCAACGGCTTCACAAAAAATCCACTGTAAGAAGAATGGTTCAGGTTAAATCCTAACCGTCCCCAGAACCCAAATCCCATTAAAACAAAAAGCCATGCAGCAGCTCACCTCCCACTTCCCTTGCTGTGTCCTCTTTTTCAAGTGGACGGTCCAGTGCTCTGAACTGACGTCTGCACAGTGAGGGATTGTCAGTGCAAAGGGAGTTGTGACAAGCATATCTGGGGGACCACAGGTGACTTCAGGACTCAGGAGAACCTCAGAGCCATCTGACTGCAGGCTTCACAGCCGAGAAAGGATAAGACAAAGAAGCATGTAAAAGGTGAGGACTTGGAATGAAAACCTAATTACAAAGTTGCTAAGTAACGTGTTACTTAGTACAAAGGCAGTGCAATCCCTCTGTAGGATGAATGACCCGGAGAAATGGGCTTTGTACCAAGCTACCCAGCCACCCAGACTGAGGTATGGTTAGATTTCAATTGGCTTCATCAACAAAAAGTGAGAGCCAGTCTTTTGGACATAAAGGGAGGAATAATAAAACCCTAAAATACAATTGTGGAGCCAACACCAGCTATCAAATTTTCATTCTTGTTAACATAGTTCTACCAGTAATAAATCCCAAGAATTGTATAGAACTGACTTCCCTGGTTGCCTCATCACCAGATCTCTTTCCCTAAACAATATATTCAATAATATTTTAGTGCTAGGAAATGATGAAGCATACAACAAAAACACTACCTTGAGTATATACAAATTAGACATGGTTATTCCGGTTTAAAAAAAACATTTATTTCTGCAATATACATATATATCAGTTTCATAATATTTTACATTGATAGCTCAGTGGAAAGCTATAAATGTATATAATCACGTATGTGATACATAATTTTCAACTCTATTTCAAATCTAAATTTGAAGTCATTTCACTCAAATCTGGAGTTCAGAATTTCCTGTCTTGTAAATTATTTACAATGAAAATGCTATTGTAAAACAGACAAACCCAAGTGAAATTTCAGTAAAGACGTCATACCTCACTGAGTCCCTCTGTTTCATTATATAGCTCCCTTCACCCTCCCATATTTTGAATGGAACATGGGGCCCCCAAGCCATGCTCCAGCCCTCAGCTTTATTCCACTATCCCAACAAACAAAAAGTTTATATAATAACAGTCAGGAAAAACAATATAATAGGAAGCCCACATTGGAAAGCCTAGGAAAATATACTTAAGGCTTGAAAAACAAGTGAAACTCAAGTGTGTTCTCTCAGCACTCATCAGTGGCCTGTGCGTGAATGACTGCCAGTGGCTATTAGAAGTGGTTAAGCCCTTTTCTTATATTTGCCACCTATATTCATTATGGACAAGAAAGGCAGGATGCCTATGAGTGACCGATGACAATATCTTCTAAAAGAACTATTTGATTGCCTACAGAGGATCATCCCCCTCGTTGAACAGATTGTTCGAACATATGGGAATTTGGGGAATTATTTAATGAAAAATGAACTTAAACCAGCCAATCAGAGGAACCTGCAAACTTCACTGTGAATAGCAAGACCGCCTCAGTCACAATGGAACCAGGAACAACCCCCACGGCCATTGTATGCTGAGCATTAGAGCGCAGGGCGATGCCTTAAGTGGACATTGGGCCCCACTAGAAGTGTAATGTCTATAAATCAAAGTTTATATGCTGTCCTCCTTCTCCAAAAAGGGTGTCTGTGGATATTGGTCTCTCCATTGTTGGAACAAAACTTCTCCATTTTTCTTTCCATCATTAATAATAATTTGTCCTTTTCTGTCACTTTCTATCAATGAGGGAGATTTACAAATATTAATTAACACACACCCGAGAAGGCAATGCAATTGCTGTATAAGTTCACAGAGATGTCAGTGAAAGAGATGGCAGATGGACCACCCTAACTCTCTCACTCACAGCTCCTGTGGTCTGTGACCAGACCACATCTTTCTTCTCTGTCACCATCAAACGATTTCTGGCCAAATTGCTGGCTGTTGTGACATCCCAAGGAAAGACAGAGATGGAGAACATCCATGTTGGGTCACAGATAATGATTCAGGACGTTTAAGGACAGGACTGGGAAGAGAAGCCTTTAATTGAGTGTGGACAAAGATGAAGCCTTAAAAGAAAAGCTTGGATGGCATTTGCATTTTCTCACTTTATATAATATATGACAAGGCAGGATTCATGCTCCTGCTAGAAGAAAAGGCAACACATTTTTTTTTCTAAAATTGCTGCAAGCTAATAATAACTGCAGCTATTAATGGCAGTGATTTCAAAACCATAGTATGAACTAGTTCACCACATCACACACCCTAGTATGCTTTCCAGATTGAAAAGCTTTGTTGCCTGGGACCTTTGTTCATAAATCTTTCCTCTTTTATATATATATATGAACTATATATATATATAGTTTTATATATAGTTATATATAGTTTTATATAACACACACACACACATATATATATATATACATACACTGACAGGCACAGGCACATGCATATATGTCTATAACTTAGATCTTCTGTATATAAAAGTAATCTGAGAATCTGAGACCTGGTTCTTATCTCTAGAGGAACTTTGTTACCTGAGTAGCATATTTATTCAGTAACTTGTCTATGTGCCAATAAATACATCATACTTTAATAAAAATCTCATTACAGTAATGAAATATACACTATTGATATTTAAGGAACTCTGGCCACAAGGCTGGTCTTCCTGCTTTGTCCTTGACTTCCAGTCTGCTCTTAACTCAACCACATGCCAGTTTTCTCAGGCCTCAAGGAATTGGGACTATTTTTGCTGCTCTGCAGTGCTAGGCATTGCCTGAAAGAAACGTCCTCCAGACAGCCATTGGACTCCCTGTTCTGTTCAGGTCTTTGTGCAAATGACATCCACTAATGAGGCACTCCTTGCCTATACTCTGGTAATTGGAACATTCCCTACACCTAAGAGCTGACCTTTGCTTTTCTTTTGCTCAATCCTTTCTAATGGACTATCCTATTTGCTCATTTATTCTTATGCTACCTCTAAGCTAAGATATACTCTCCACAAGGCTAAAGATTTAAAACAATGTTTTCTTCATTATTGTATTATTAGTGCCTAAACATACTGATGGTAAACACTCACAATATTTGTTGAAAAGAATATACAATCCAGATCTTGAAGGGGATCCCATTCAAATCTGAAATATTTTGAGATCCTAATTAAACAATACTACAAAATATAACACAGGAAGGCAAATAAAAATATACAGTAAATGGGCATCTCTGAGATTGGGGAGGCTCCTGGGAGTTTACGGTGGTGATCCTAGCTGAAACTCCTGGAAGCAATGGATATGGAGCCAGAAGTGGTCACCTCCTGAAGCCAGGCAGGACTTCCAGCAGAGGAAGAGAGATACCAACTCCCATACAAAACCTTTGACTGAGCCAACCAATGAGTGGTGTAACCTGAGTTGCAGTGCCATGAGAGAGCCCACCACTTAGATCTCATCATGGGGAAACATGAGAGGAACCCAGTTTGCTAGGAAGTGCACAACATAGGCACTCTGAAGGCTTAATTGCCACTGTCATAAAATTCAAAGACATGATGACTTCGGATTCAAATAGACTAAAGATATATGGCAATAAAATATGATGAACTGTCTTGGGTTTCTATTTTCAAGCAAGAGCCTTTTTTTCTGATAACAGGTAAAATAAATATAAGCTTTGTTCGGTAGGTGATAATGTTTTATCAGTGCTAATTGTCTGACTTTGAGAAGTAGGTTGTCACACAAGATAACTTCCAGTTATCTTCCAATGCCCACATAGTAGGTAAAGGATCATCTTGTTCACAAAGGTTATAGACCTTTTGTTCATATGTACATGTAGGCATTTTACTCCCTTTTATAAATACACCAGGAGAGAAGGCAGCACAGCCAAAAACCCACTAGCCCTTTCAAACCTCATCACAGGGGGTAGAAACTCTGCTACCAGCTACCAGTCTCAAATTTTTCATTAAGCTGGAAAATGTATTCAGACTTTAAAGGTGTTGAAATTAAATGAATGGATGGGAGAATTCTTTCAGCATTCTGTCACATGAAACATGAGCTGAAGGGAGATCGAGGAGCTGCAGGCAGTGCTGTCTGCCTAGTGGAGTAAAAAGTATTTCCCTTCCCCTCTCTGTGCACCGCTGCCATCATTACTGACCTTGGCAGGGCTGGGGTAGCTGCTTAGATACTGTGTTTGCTAACTCAACAGTTGCTGATCTGATACTAAACGTGTAGAAGATAGTTTTCCTCGAGCCCAAACTGTCAGTTTCAGGCTCCGAGAGGAGGTTTTCATTGTTGTTGCCTGCCCTGCTGTGCTTGGTAATCATCATTCCTGCCTTCCTCCTTATGGCTTAGATCACAGATTAATGGAGGATTGCTCACCTTTACACACCATGTCATTTCAGAATCCAGACAGGAGAGCGATGATCATTGGACCATGTTAGGCCCTTGGTTGATACATAATTAAATCATATTTTAATGGAACAGACATAAAATGTAGATAGATATCAGCTGTAGTGCTAAAACTACAGCCCTGAAAGCAAGGGTAGCTTCTTAGGGTTTTCAATGGAGGAGATATACTATTCTTACCACTTTTATAATTTTTTTTCCTTTCCATTAAAACCTATATTCTGACCTGGGGTACTAAAATTATAGTGGGGTAACTCTCCTGCAGGGTTTAGGTTTGTTGGTGGTGGAGGTTTTGTTTTGTTTTGTTTTTACTCTTGTTGTCTTGCCCTGACCATAGATTACATAGCACCCTCAGGAGTGTAATATTTTAGAATCTGGGGGTGACCTGGGCTCTTCAAAGCTGCCTTTTCTCACTAGTTTATCACAAATCACAAACACATGTGCTGAAAACTTTTTTTCACAACTCCAATGCAGGTTGCAAAAATCAAACACCTGGAAAGAAATACGTGATAAGAAGCTGAAGAGAGAAGAAAGTGGGCAAAATCGCCCATTACAGCAGATTGCACATTTTTTATTTTCAAGGTGTTCTAAAATAGGAATGTGACTCCGAATTTCTTGGGCAGCATAGTTTATTCTCTATTCCTAGATACCTCCAATAAAGGTCTGTTCAGTGATTGTGGAATAGGTATGAACCCCTGCTTCTTTTACTTACAAGATGTCTCTGGCACTAACATTTGAGAATTGTGTTGTTCTTAAGAAAACAGTCAAGGAATCCTGCATATATACAAGGGGCTTGGCCATTTCAGATTCCTCTAAAGAGAATTCTCTGTC